TACAGGGCACATGTAACTGCTTTTGACTTTTTACAGGGAATCATGCTGAGTTTGTCTTGAGTCTCGGAGGAGACTTGGACTTGGACTTTTGGACATTGCTGGAAGGGTCAATACCGTGGGGACTCTTGGAAACAGACTGCATGTGTTTTTCATCATGAGATGGGCATGAGCTTTTGGGTCCAGGGGCAGAATGCTAGTGTTGGATATGGGGTGTCTCCTCAAAGCTCGTGTGTGAGAAAATACAAGAGGATTTAGAGGTGCAATAATGGCGTATGAGAACCTTCATCTAATCAGTGCATCAGACCCCTGAGAGGGATCACCGGGGGGAAACTGTAGGCAGGCAGCATGTGGCTGAAGAAGCTGGATCTGGGGGGGCGAGGATCATGCCTTTGAAGGGAAGACTGTAATCACCCCCTGATATAATCAGCTTTCTTTCTTTCTTTCTTTCTTTATTTATTTATTTTTTGCTGCTGTATAAAAAGACTTGACCAGAAAAATTTTAACTTAAGAAAAGTTTATTTCACGGCTCACAGTGTCAGAGGTGTCAGTCCATAGGTGGTCGAACTCCTGGTGCCAGTTTCTGATCTAGGCAGTGTTTACATTGCTGCATCCAGAAGAGCTGACAAGTAGAATTAGAGGAGAAAAAGAAAGGCCGAAGGTTCTCTCTGACATGTGGCTGCTGATCCATGGGGTGGGGTGGGGAGGAACTTTGGATTGAATAGAGGGGAGGGAGGGGAGGGGAGGGGCACGGGGGTAGGAATGATAGTAGAATAAATTGGACATTAGTACCCTGTGCATATGTGACTACACGACCCGTGTGACTCTACGTCACGTACAACCAGGAGAATGAGGAGTTGGACTCTATCTATGATGTGCCGGAAGGCATTCCTTCGTCGTGTATGGCTAATTAGAACACATAAAACATTTTAGAAAAACGAACTTAAAGTTCATATAACTTAAAAAAAAAAAAAAAAGAACTTTTGGAACAGGAGTTTGTGCAAGTTCACTAGTCACCGAGAAAGACGGCTCTCCAAAAAGCTACTTCCATTAGCGTGGCAAGAGCTTGCAAATATCAAGTCTTCTCCAGGGTCCATATTCAGGTCTTCTAGAAGCCTGAAAGCAGGTCAGAGCAGCCCTCCCTTCCCCCATAGCTTACTTCTCTGTATGGACACCAGCTCACTGTGGAGAGAATCCGTGAGTGATTTACGGCAGCTGGCGTGTCACAACAGGTGACCTGTAAACATTTGTCAATAAACAGGAGCCCCTGAAGGGTGGCAGACGTCTCTCTGAACTTCACTTAGAAGCCCGAACCACAGTCCCTTTTGGAGTGAGGGAGTGTTAGAGCAGTCACACAGGTGTTCCGAACTTGTGCGTCCCCTAATTTTCCCCGTAAACACGGGTTTGCCACTGAGTCTTTTCTGGGCTGAGTTACTGCAGTTTGACTTGTTAGACAGTGTTCACAGGGCAATGTCCCAGTGAAGACCGAGTGAGCACAAGCTTCTGAGTGTGGGGCCCCACCTGATGTGGCGTATTTTTTTCAGATAAGGGCGTCTCTGGCTCACCCTGTGACAGGGAGGGTGCGTAAGGACTGGGTACCAGGTGAACTTCCATCAAGTCATGGGTCTGAATAGAGTGTCCCACTTCTTGTCCATGTCCTTTGCTGAGGGCCATTGCCAAGTAGGAATGACGCATCGAATTTTCCTTGCCAGCGTACCCCATGCTGCTTAGAGGACATTCGATGGGACATTGCATGTATGCTTTAGTAAGGTGACCTTGCTCAAAGATCAGGGCAGATCCGGGTTTAGAGCTGATCAGGTTTGAGGAAGTTTCCCGCTCCTGGCTCCTGGAGTTTAAGGCGTTCCCGGTTTAAGACAATAGGGGTTTTAGGGAAGTTGGAGGTTGAAGATTATTGCTGCTGGGAGTAGGGCGTACCTGCTGCTTGTTCCCGTTGAGTTCTCGTGAGATTCAAGTGGAATTTGGAAAAAGCCTCGTGGAGTAGGTAAATTGGGCGGGCAGATTTGAGATTGCCGCTGAACCTGTGTGGAGGCGGTGTGAGTTCGGGAATAAAGAATTGCTGTTTGAATCTACAAGTGTGTGGTGGCTCGTGATTCCGTGCCAAGCCGAGACCTTGGCAGTCCTTGGCTTGACTTTGGGTAAAAGGACTCGGGCCTTGTGCAACCAGCTGAAAGTACACACTGGAGACCTCGTGTTTCTGCTCTCTGTCATTTCTTAATCCAGCGTTTCCCTTGGATCTTAAGCCTCAGCTGAATGATAAACAAAGCAGGGCCCTAAGTAATCCGGAGAGCAAGTAAAGCATTCATGGGCCATTTAGAACGGGATCATCTCTCTGGCACTTTGATTGATTTGTTTATTTTAAAACCCAAGGCGATTTTGTTCCCTTTGTTCCTGTCTTGCTTACCTTGTCCTTAATTGACCTTGGTTGGCCTTTCCCTCGCAGGACTCCACCTAACCTTTCTCTTGACCCCTAGTGCTCTCTCTCCTTGACCTGGCAACGACCCCCTGCCCTCAGGCCTGCATTCAAGGGGGCCTGCAGGGCTGTGTCACAGAGCGGGGGGCCTTCTGAGCCCCTGAGGCAGTGTGAGGGGCACCCTTCAAACCCCAATTCTGTGACCAAGTCAGAAAGAGACCCACAGGTCACTCAGAGGCATAGGCAGAGCTTATTGAAGGGAAGGGAAAAGGGAAAGGGACGTTCTCAAGGGAGAGGGAGTGTCCTCTCAGAGAAGACAGGGACGGTGCGCCTGTCCTTCACCCCAATGTTATTGGGAATCCCAGAGAAGTTTCCAGAGGTTCTTAGCCAGGTCCACCTCTGGACTTTTGACTGACAGCAAGATGACATCCGACGTTCAGGTACCACTGCCACGGCAGCTCCAGGTCACCTTGGCCCTTGCCGACCAGCTCTAACTGGAATCGTCACCACACATTCTTACAGATTTCTTGTGAGGAGGAATCATCCTCATCGCCCCGAGTTTCAGGATCTGGTCGCCAAAGCCCCCTGAGTTCCTCCCATCAACATTTCCGCTGCAGATAGCAGGTGTTTTTCTGAGAAATGTCAACCCGGGCCAGCCGGGCTGCAGGCTCATGTCTCCTTGGAAAAGAAAGCACTGGGGGTCGTCGGGGTGGGGGTCTGCCCAGTGGGCCTATTTTATAGACTTTTCCTCTTTTTGTTTGTTTTTATTATTTATTTATTGGCTTA